CTTAACTATGGCTCCAAACTTAACTATGATTTTCAGAGAGAAACGTTGGGTGGTTTACTTCCCATGGATCACTTTGTGAGTAGAGAGATATTATTTTTTTTTTCCTTCGGGATCTGTGGATCCTGCCCTCCATGTTGTCCTTCTCTTCGGCTGAATGCCAACAACCTAGGTTTGATCTTTGGCATCCCATGTGGTCCCCTGAGCACTGCCAGCAATAATTCCTGAGTGCAAAGTCAGGAGTAAACAACTGAGCACCACAGGGCATGGCCCAAAAACAAACAAACAAACAAAATGTGAGCAAAAGAAGAGAACAATTAAGGAACAATTAAGGTTCCCTCACAGGAACCCTTGCTCAGTCTACTGAAAGTTAAGGAAGGATACAGAAATATGAAACTGTCATTCTTTCATCCCACCAACTCTTATTCAACTTGTACTTGAAACAAGGGGGGGGAAAATTAGACTTAAGCTTTCAGTTCTTACTCAAGGAGCCACAGAGCACCAAAACGTCATAAAGGTAGATGGTACAGGGGGTCAAGGCACGTGATTGGTTAAGCCAGGAGTACCCCTGGCTCTAGGGATACGGCCCCCCAACTAACAAAAACTCTCATAATGTGTTATAAGTACAAATATATAGGCATATCAACGGTATAATAACAATACAGAAGAGACATACTTTTTTTCCTTTTGGTTTTTGGACAACACATAGAGGTGCTCAGGGCTTATTCCTGTCTCTGTGCTCAGGAATCACCCTGGCAGTGCTCAAGGACCATATGTGGGATTAAACTGGGGTTCACCAAATGCAAGGGAGGTGCTTTAAACCCTGTACTATCTCTCTAGGCCCTTTTTTCTAACAAATCAGGGAAACAGAATAAGATTACTGAGGCAAAAACAACTGAGGGGGCCAGGTGGTGAGCATGGATTAGGTGGTAGAACACAGGCCTTATAAATTCAAATACCATTTAGCCCCGGGGCAGCGCTGGGCCAATGCCTCCCCCATCCCTGCTGGGCAGTGGCCCCATGGACCTCTAGCTACTAACACTTAGTTGGCAAAACAGTAAGAAAAATAACAAAGATGATAAAACCTTGGTCATTAGAATGAGAAAGACTTAGATTCAGTAGCTCCTGCTGTGTGACTCTCAGCAAATGATTTAATTTCTCTAGGCTTCCGTGTTTACATCTGCAAAATAAGGTTGTTTTGAAATTAAATGAGACGATGTATGTAACCTGCTGGCACCAACATCCACACAACAAACACGAAGCCTCCCCCTTAACTCTCCAAAGTGAACTTACAAGTAGAGTTCTGAGAGTAGCTTACTAGTGGCAGGGAGAGAAACAGTTTTGCAGAAACAGGAGGACAACCAAATGACTTCAGGCAGGCACGAGATAAGTCCCCAACTAAGGTGGGAGCCAAATGCAGATTTGAAAGGTCATTGTGAAATCTAAATCCAAAGGGCTGCAGTCTGATTGGCTGCGGAGGATAAGAAAGGAACAGTCTAAACTAATTCAGATTCCTCTGGGGCGGGCAACTTGGCCAAAGCAGTTTGCAAGGACAGGGACCAGTGAAAACAGGTTGTGGAAAAAATGTCTTTCCAGAGCCAGGCTCTGCTGCCACCAGTGAGCACACACCTTTTTTGAGGTCTAAAAGGTAATCTGTGACGCAAGAAGCAAGAGCCAGCACTGGTGGGAGCCCAGAGACCAGCTCTGTGATCCAGCAAATTGCGAAGAAGCAAGACCATTTCTGAAAGAGACTGAAGAGATAGGTAGTATAGAGGGCAGGACATTTACATGTGGCCAACATGGGGTTCTATCTCTGGCACCGCATATGGCCCCCTCAGCCTTGCCAGAAGTGATCTCTGGGCATAAAACCAAGAGTAAGCCTTGAGTACCACCCGGTAAAGCCTCAAAAACAAATTTTTTATTTATTTATTTTTACTTTTTTCCATAATTTTATTTATTTATTTGTCTTCTTATATTTATTTATTGAATCACTGTGGGAAAAGTTACAAAGCTTTCAGGTTTAAGTCTCGGTCATACAGTGATCAAACACCTTTCCCTTCACCAGTATTCATTTTTCACCACCAAGAACCCCAATATACACCCCTCCCACCCCTCCCAATGCCTGTGAGGCAGATGATTTCTACTTAACTCTTCTCTACATTGATTACATTCATTACTTCGAGAAAAGATGCACCATTATTGTTTAGAATCTCCCCCCCCCAACAATCAGAATCGCTGAAAAGGCTTTGTGAAATACTTTGTTTTCTATAGCTGGTATGAGAATCATATAATGTGGTGCGGCTGCGCAATTTTGAATTTCTGCAAAGAGTCAGATAATTACGAGATTGATTTCTGTGCGTCTGGTGTTGTAGCTGTGCCGGAGAGCCACTCCTGATGGGCAACTCGTGACCTTGGTTGGGGCTGAAGGACGAGCCGGTACCGCCCCCCTTCCCATGAGACTGCAGTTGCCCCGTCACCAACGGCTCATACCTGGCTTTCCTATAAGCTCTGAGGCGGTGGCCACCTTGCTGGGGGGGAGGGGCGGGGGATAGGCGGAAGGGAGCAACACCCTTTCCCTCCAGGGGAAGCATGGCACCGTAGTTTAACTCATGGTCCATTCACTTTTCTGCCGCAAGCTGCTGGGCTCTGGATTAAGTTCTTTTGCCTCTGGAGCCATGGCCTTGCCGGAGAGCCGCTCGTGGGGGGCAACTAGTGACTTCCGTAGGGTGTGAAGGGCGAGCTGGTATCGCCACCCTCCCCATGAGACTGCAGTTGCACATCAACACCAGCTCATACCTGGCTTTCCAATAAGCTCTGACGCGGCGGCCATGCGGTCCAGATGCATTTCTGCCAAAAGCCGCTGGGTTCTGAGATTCGTTTCTGAGTCTCTGGGATCATGGCTGTTAAGCAGTTCGATCAGGAACCAGAGAGGCCAGGCCTCCAATTATATAACTGAGACAGCGGTGGTTTGTGGGTGTGTTTCCCACATGCCTAACTTTTGGCTGTTTACTTTCTTGGTAAACTTTTCCCCAAGTTTTTGGGGTCTGGCCAAAGGCACAGCAGCAATTGTGGGGTACCTGAAAGTCTGACAGTGCCATCAGGCTGCTGATGCACTCTCCTCACAGGTACAGATTGACCTGCTGGTGGCAACATACCCCCACAAAATTTTTAAAAAGATAATTTCTGGTGCCTGCCATAGAGATAAGCTGGGGGAGAAGGAGAGGCGGGAGGGGGGGGGCTGGAGGGAAATTGGGGACATTGGTGATGGGAAATGTGCACTGGTGGAGGGTGTTAGAATATTGTATGACTGAAACCCTACCACAGCTTTGTAACTTTGTATCTCATAGTGATTCAATTTTTTAAAAGTATTTTTTTAAAAAGATACTTTCGGGGCTAGAGCAATGGCACAGTGGGTAGGACTTCTGCCTTGCAAGCAGCCGAACTGGGTTCCCCATATGGTCCCTCGAGCACCGCCAGGAATAATTCCTGAGTGCAGAGCCAGGAGTAAGCCCTGTGAATTGCTAGTTGTGACCCAAAAAGAAAAAAAAATTAAATAAAAATAAATAAATTAAAAAGATACTTTCTGTAGCAAATATCAGAAATCCTTTCACTTTGGTGAGAGGCTGAAGAGATAGAACAGGGGTTAAGAATTTGACTTGCACTTGGCCCACCCGAGCACCGCATGTGGTCCCCTTTTCATCACCTGGAGTAAACCCTGAGCACCCCAGTCTTTGCCTCCCCCCAAAACAAAATCCTCTAGAGAAAGAGCAGGAATGTACTGACTCCTGTTCTAATATCAGGAATGGGCATTCTGGATACTCTGTTTGGCCTCACCTATGCTGGCTCTGAGCTTACATTCAACTCAGCAAGAGAACTCATTTTTTAAGTTTACAGGAAACAACCCAGAAAGAGACCCCAGGCCGATTCTTTTTTTTTTTTTTTGCCTTTTTTGGGTCACATCTGGGGATGCACATGGGTTACTCTTGGCTCTGCACCCAGGAGTCACTCCTGGCGGTGCTCAGGGGACCATGCGGGATGCTGGGAATCGAACCCAGGTCGGCAGCATGCAAGACAAACGCCCTGCCAGCTGTGCTATGGCTCCAGTCCCCCAGGGCGATTCTTAAACCATACCAAATGCCAGGGTCAGAGTAAGGAACGCACAAACTGCCTTCTCTGAGTACTTGCCTCCAGGAAAAAAACAAAAAAAAAACAAAAAACAGATCCAGTGGGAGTTTCTTAAAGCAACCTTGAAGTGCTTGAGTAGAAAAGTGGGGGAGTGGGTGCTGGCAGATGCCTACCATGGGTGTGCTGGGTTCAAGGTGCTGTTGTATCAGAGGGTGACAGTCAGTGGTTCCGAGTAGAAAAGGGGCGTCTGGGTGAGGAACTGCCTGGTGGTGGTGGAGAATGGGCTAGAAGGATCATAGGGGAAGTGGAGACGTGGTTAGGCACATAGCCAGGAAGAGACCGAGGGGCGAAGGGAAGGCACCACGTTTCGAGGTAGGCAAAAGGAAGCCTGGGGTTGGAGTGATAGCACAGCGGGTAGGGCGCTTGCCTTGCACGTGGCAGCCTCGGTTCGATTCCCAGCATCCCATATGTTCCCACCCGAGCACCGCCAGGAGTAATTCCTAAGTGTAGAGCCAAGAGTAACCCCTGAGCGTCGCCAGGTGAGACCCAAAATGGAAAAAAAAAAAAGAATCATAAGAAGAAGGAAGCCTTAACCAGGGGGACACCAAACGGTGATTGGGGAGTTGGAGGTTTTGGACACCTTGGCATTGGGGTCCAGGAGAGTCCGCTCCAAAAACAGTGCCCCATCCTTACCCCCACCTCGGCTTCCAGAGGTCCAGCTGCCCTGGAATCCCCCTCTGAGCTCGCCCCCAGGTTTGTTTGCCCACGAGCGTCTCTGAACCGCTAAGGCCCAGAGCAAGAATCCTTAAAGTTACATCATGTGCCGGGGGGCGAGGCTGGGCGCAGGGGCGGGGCAGGGCGGCGGATCGGGCCGGTGCGCCAATGGCAGAGGTGGGCTCGGGGGTACAGCGGCGGGGGAGGCGCCGGGCGGGGCGGAGAGAGGGTCGCCCGGCCCCGGGTTCCGCCCCTGCGCCCGCGCGCGCGCCTCCTGCTCCCGCGCCTCCCGCGCCGCCCGCTCTGCGCTCGCAGCTTCCCCGGCCCTGCCGCGTCCTCGTGGCCGCCCCGCAGCCCCCAGCGCCGGTACCATGGCAGCTGTGTACCGCCCCGGCCTGCGGTGAGTGACCCCGCTGTGTGGGAGGACACGGGCTGGGGGTGGTCCGTCTTCCAGATCCGCGGGGTCGCGCGCCTCGCCGGAGATCGGCGAGGGGGGGCGGGGATCGGTCTCTGGCGCTCGGGGAGTTGCCCTGGGCTTCTGTCTTGCACCTTTGCCGGGCTGCCACCTCGCCGTCTCCGTCTGCCAGTTTCGGAACTTCCCTCCCCTCCTCCCTCGACCCCCTCACCTCCAACCCCGTCCCCCGACCCCGGGCCGCGCGCTCCTTTGCCGAGGAACCCAGCGCGCACCGGCAGGGGCGAGCGCAGGGCCCGGGGTCACCGGTGCAAGGGCTCCAGAGACCGAGCCCAGCGTCCCCGAGGAAAGCAGGCGGTAAACATCCCTTCCCTGGCCTCCCCCGCGACTGGAAACTGGCGGGAAGCCCGGCGCAGCCACGGGTACCCGGGGGCCAGTAGGAGGCGGGGGTGGAGTTGCCCTCGCGTCTTCCACGTCCCCCCACCCCCCCCCCCACGTTCCCAGAACTGCTCTCCCGCCCTCCCCTCGGCATAGCTTGCCTGAGCACCCTTTGGAGACGTCGTCTACCCCCGCCTGACCCTAGGTCTCTCCCATCCGCGCGGCCCTTGTGGGCTGTTTTGGGTTTGCGCTGCCCTTCCTGGAGCCGAAGGAGAAGAGGGACTGGAGGGACTGGAGTGGGGGCTGGGGAGAACAACGGGCAGCCGGCACTCCCGCCCCCGCAGCGAAGCGCTCCCCAAGATTGTGCGTCTGGACAGTACAACCTCTCCCCCTAGGAGGGAACAGCCAGATCCTGGAGGACCCACCCCCTCCGCCCGTGGCAATGGGCTCCATCCTGTTCTGCAGGCAGCCTCAGGTCCTGTGCTCTCCCTTCTGCCTGATGTCCACTGATGGGGAACTGTCCACCTGATGTCCCATCCTCCCACCTGTATTCCTAGCTCTCTAGGTCTCCTAGCAGCCAGTCGGGGAAGTGCCGGGTTCCCAGAGGGGTGTGGGGGCATGGAGGCCCAGCATAGGCATAGATATAGGGGGGTGGCACCTCCCCTCTCTGGGCCTTTGTTGGCGCTGTGCTCTGTACCTGGGTCCTAGCCAATCAGTGCCAGACACCACTTCTTCCAGAAGTGTGAGGGTAAGGTATGGACCTCAGGATCCCTGCCCAGCTGAGAATCCAGGCTTGAGCCCCAGCCCCCTGATTTTCCTCAATATCAGCCTTCCACATGGTTCAAATATTCCTACCCCCTTGGGGCCAGAGAGATGGCACAGTGGGCAGGGCACTTGCCTTACAGGCAGCTGATCAGGTTCCATTTCCGGCTCTCCATATGGTCCCCCAGCCCACCTGGAGTGATCCCTGAGCACCCCCCCCCCACACACACACACACACACACAACAAACACCTAGTGACAATGTTTTGTACAGTCCTTGTTGGTGGAAGGGCACTCTGAGTTGATGCAGTCACCTGAATGGGAACACCAATGTCCGGAACCCCAGTGTCCAGTCACCCGAGACCTAGTCTAGAAACCTGGGAAGCTGCCAGCTCAGACTGCACACTTACATGAGGTTTGCCTAGTATGGGTACCAGAGGAAGTTTAAAATAGATGCCTTTAAATAATAATAATAAAAAATTCTACTTGAGAATGGAAAGAACAGTGATTAGAATGCCAAATAGACATACGAAGCTGTCACCTGGGCACAGGTTATTGACATTCAGGCTATAGAACACCTGCTCATTTCTAAATATTGACCAGACATGGTTAAACATGAGCATGGGCTAAGCCTGCATGTCCACGTCCACACAGGTAGGCATTTCCTTGATCCTCATTTGGTGATAACCTGCACTGGCAGGAAACACCTTCCACAAGAAGGCCCAGAACTGGGCCAGAGCGATAATACAGTGGGCAAGGTGCTTTCCTTGTGCGGTACGCAACTGACCTAGGTTCAATCCCTGGCATCCCACATGGTCCCCCCGAGCACCAACAGAAGTGACTCCTGAGTGCAGAGCCAGGAGAAACCCCTGAGTATCGCTGGGTGTGGCCAATAAAAAAAGGCCCAGGACCTGGCTCAGCACTAAATCATGCGCCTGGCATGAGTTGGGGTTGGATCCCCAGCACAGGGGACCGGAGGGAGGGTCAGAACCCCAGCCCACCTCCACAGTCTGCTCTGGAGCGCTCTGTAGAGGCCCTGGCTTTCCCTACATTCATCCCTCCTCCAGGAGGACACCTGTCGTTAACCTCGTTTTTTTTTTTTTCCCTCTCTCAAAGGCTCAGCTGGCGTGGGCTGAGCCCCTGGGGCAGGTCATCTGGACGCAGCATCCAGACCCTCCGAGTACTGCATGGAGATCTGGGCCAGCTGCCGGCAGGGGTTCGGGACTTTGTGGAGCACAGTGCCCGCCTGTGCCAACCAGATGGCATCCACATCTGTGATGGGACCGAGGCTGAGAATACTGCCATCCTGAGCCTGCTGGAGCAGCAGGGGCTCATCCGCAAGCTCCCCAAGTATGATAACTGGTAAGCCCTGGACCCAGGGACTGCGATAGTGGGGCAACTGCTTGGGTCGAGGCCCCTCTGGGTTTTATTATTCCATCAAATTGAATTAGACCATCCTGTGCCAGTGGAGTGAAAGACTGGGCGGGGCAGGAATAGAATCAGGAATCACTGGGGGACGGAGAGATAGTACAGCAGGTAGGGTGCTTGCCTTGCACGAGGCTGACTTGGGCTCAATCCCCAGCATCCCATATGGTCTCCTGAGCCCACTGCCAGGAGTAATCCTGAGTGCAAAGCCTGGAGGAAACCCTGAGCCCCTGTGCATCGCCAGATGTCACTGTCACTGTCATCCCATTGTTCATCAATTCCCTCGAGCAGGCACCAGTAATGTCTCCATTCGTCCTAGCCCTGAGATATTAGCAAGTGCTACATTGGAGGCTCTTTCGGGGTCAGGGGAATAAGACCCATCATTGTTACTGGGTTTTGGCATATTGAATACCCCACGGGAAGCTTGCCAGACTCTGCCGTGCAGACAGGATACTCTCAGAACCTGCTGGGTTATCCGAAAGTGAGAACTAGACAAAAAGAGGTCGATTCCGGGAGCTTGGTTTTATAGTCTCTGGATCTTGGCCGTTGACGGGATTACATGGCGCTGGGGGCAGTTGGTGGGTGTAACTGTCTAGCCACTGGAAAATGGGGGATCTGGGCGGAGGAAGCCCAGCCCCAATCTGAGCAGGCTTGGAGATCTCAGACCCGGGCGGCACACCTAGGTTCCTCTGCTGGTTCCTTCATGTGTAAGGCTTCTCCAAGTGTGTGAAGAGTGGCCTTGAGCATGGCTGTGGCTGGGAGGTCTTCAGCTGCTGGGGCTCAAAAAACTTTAAAACAAATGAACAAAAAGAATCATTGAGATTTGTCTGTATTTTTATATTAAATTAAGAGGCCGGGGATGAGTGCAGGGAAATGGCTCCAGTAGTCTAACATCTGTCTGGCACTGCATGGTTTTGCCGCTGGGTGGCTCTGGTTGACCCCTGCGCTCTGTTGGGCAATGGCCCCTGTGTAAGTGAATAAATGAAGAAGTTGATTCAAAGAAAGCCTTTGCCTTTTTGTTTTGTTTTTGGTTATTTGGCTTATAAATTCAGGGAGTTTTTGCCTAGAGTTGAGTCTTTTTGAGGACGGGGGCAGCAGGAACTCTGTCTGGGACTGGGTTAGACGTGAAGAGAGTGGCTGAGATGTGTGTAAGTGGATACAGGAAGGCCAGCAGCAGAGCAGGGGTCCACAGTGGACAGGGCAAGGGGACGAGAGAGCTCGGCCAGCCACGGTCTCCCTGACCATCTCCTTTCCCCCAGCTGGCTAGCCCGCACGAACCCCAAGGACGTGGCCCGAGTCGAAAGCAAGACAGTGATCGTAACTCCTTCTCAGCGGGACGCGGTGCCCCTTCCTGTGGGTGGGGCCCATGGGCAGCTGGGCAACTGGATGTCCCCTGCAGAGTTCCAGCGAGCTGTGGACGAGAGATTTCCAGGCTGCATGCAGGGTGAGCGGCCAGGGACGCGGAGGTGGGGGCGCTGAGGGGACGGGCATGTGGGAGCCCTGCACGCGGGTACTCTCCCCTCTGCAGGCCGGACCATGTATGTGCTTCCGTTCAGCATGGGCCCCGTGGGCTCCCCGCTGTCACGTATTGGGGTGCAGCTCACCGACTCCGCCTATGTGGTGGCCAGCATGAGGATCATGACCCGTCTGGGGACGCCCGTGCTCCGTGCGCTGGGAGATGGGGACTTTGTCAAATGTCTGCATTCCGTGGGCCAGCCCCTCACTAGGCCAGGTGAGCACCCGCTCAGCCCTGCTTACACTCCCAGGGGGTCCTGAGTCGTAACCACCCTGATTAGTAAGATCCCCTAGCTCCTGAGGTCCTGGGCAGCTCTCTGGGCTGGGCATAAGGCTGTGAGTTGTCTGTGCTCAGGAATCGGGCATGGGAACTGATGGGTGCTAGGAGGTGGGGGCGTTAGCTACCCATCGTTGCCCCTGGGTCTCTCCTGTTGGCCCCTCTCACCCCCGAGGGCCCTTGCCAGCTGACCTGTCACCTCGTTGTCTCCAGGGGAGCCCGGGAACCAGTGGCCCTGCAATCCAGAGAAGACCCTGATTGGCCACGTGCCCGACCAACGGGAGATCGTCTCCTTTGGCAGCGGCTACGGTGGCAACTCCCTCCTGGGCAAGAAGTGCTTTGCCCTCCGCATTGCCTCTCGGCTTGCCCGGGAAGAAGGCTGGCTGGCAGAGCATATGCTGGTGAGGGCCTGGTGAGAATTTGGGCGGCCTTGGGGCAAGTCAGCCTCGCCCCCCCCCCCCCCCCCGCCAAACCTGCTGAACACCAAGCTGGTGGGCAGGGCCTCCTGCCTGACTTCCCAAAGCTTGGGTCTTTGGCTGCTGCATCTTGGAGCTTTCCTTTGCTGCTGACCCAATCCCAGGAGCTGGGATGTTACCTATTTATGGAATAAAGATTGGTCCTCCCTGTTCATCCCTGGCTCTCCTCCCTGTGCAGCCAGGCCTCACCTTTGGTGTCCCGTCCATGTTCCTCCCCCATCTCTCCTTTCCCTGACACAGATCCTGGGCATCACCAACCCTGCAGGGAAGAAGTACTATGTGGCTGCTGCCTTCCCCAGCGCCTGTGGCAAGACGAACTTGGCCATGATGCGACCAGCCCTACCGGGCTGGAAAGTGGAGTGTGTGGGCGACGACATTGCCTGGATGAGGTTTGACAGGGATGGTGAGAGGTCTTCCATTCACACCCTTCTTTCTGGCTCCCAACGTAGGTGACTCCCCTCTGCTGCTTCTCAGCATCTCTGTCTGCACAGCCAGCCTCGCCCCTGCCCTCAGGCCACACTGAGCTGAGCATCAAGCCAGCATGGCTCCAGCTAAGAGGATGCCGGGCGGGAGTGCTTCTCCAGGTGCTCTTCCTGATGAGGCCTGCCTTCCTTTCACTCGGACAGGTCGACTCCGGGCCATCAACCCTGAGAATGGCTTCTTTGGGGTGGCCCCTGGCACCTCCGCCACCACCAACCCTAATGCCATGGCCACGATCCAGAGCAACACTCTCTTCACCAACGTGGCCGAGACCAGCGATGGTGGCGTGTACTGGGAGGGCATCGACCAGCCTCTTGACCCGGGTGTCACCGTGACCTCCTGGCTGGGAAAACCCTGGAAACCTGGTAAGTGAGGTCTTGGGGTCAGGGAGTCATGACTCAACCCCCTTCTACACAGCCCTGCAGCCATCTTCTAGGACTCCCCTCCCCCTTCTCCCACCCACCCCCCGGCACAGGAAGTTTGGAGCAGCCGGCAAGATCCAATCCCAGGCATAATAATGGTTCTGAACCCCACCTCACCAGAGCGGGTTGGTGATGGTTCCCTGGACAGTTGAATTGGGGTATTTCTTCTGGTACCTCCCTCATCAGATTGTTAGGAGGGTTAACTCAAATGCAGAGGTCAGAGAGACCGCTCAAGGCTGGCCTGCGTGCTTTGCATGGAGCCTCAGATTCAGTCCCTAACACCACATGGTCACTTGGGTACTGTCAGGAGCAATCCCCAAGTATTGAGCCAGGGGTAGCCCCTGACCACCATCCAGTGTTGCCTTCCACCCGCCCAACCCCCCCCCCCCCGTGTGTGTGTGTGTGTGTGTGTGTTTGTGTGTGTGTGTGAGAGAGAGAGAGAGTGAAGTAAGGTAGTTTTTTGTTTGTTTGCTTGCTTTTTGGGTCACACCCGGCGATGCACAGGGGTTACTCTTGGCTCTGCACTCAGGAATTACTTTTGGTGGTGCTCGGGGGACCAATATGGGATACTGGGAATTGAACCCATGTGGGCCTCGAGCAAAGCAAACGCCCTACCCGCTGTACTATCGCTCCAGCCCCATTAAGGTAGTTCTTAATTGAATAAAACTTGCTTAGAAAGATGTGAGAGGAAAGAAAGGGGAAATATGAGATTTCACAAGGTTCTTCAGAGTGGCTGGACACGTAAATGAGATTTGGAGACGACCGCTGGACTAGAGCCATTACCGACTAGATTCCACAGGACCTCAAAAGACCGCGTGGCCACCCACCTACAAGATGGTCAGACTACTTTGTCAAGACCCTGAACGATCGGTTTGAAGCTCTTCGTGTTCCTGGAACGAACAGACGCCATTGGGCTACACTAGCACGCAACAGGGAAGAATGGAGACGTTACTGGCGCCCGTTTGAGCAAATCGATGATTAACGGGAAGTCAAGTGATCAAGTGATCTTCAGAGTGGAAATAAGCGAGCAGAGAAACACAGCCAACCAAGCGAGATGCATGTTCTAGGGAGATAGGGAGAGCAGGGGCGTGAAGAACAAGCATACGTTGACCATATTAAAGAAATTAAAAGGGGCCAGAGAGACAGGATGGGGGTTAAGGCCCTTGCCTGGCATGCGGCCAATACTGGGTCGATTCTCAGCACCCAACACCTGAGCACAGAGCTAGGGAGAGCCCCTGAGCACCGCCAGGTGTGGCCCAAAAATATAAGAGAGAGAGAGGACTGTTTTGAACATGATTTCTGAAGAGCTATGTTCAGAGCACTTGGCCCTCCGCCCCTTCCGACCACCTCTGTCTGAAGGTCAGCACTGCACCCTCACTCGGCCTCCCCCAGCCTCCCAGAGCTGCCTCCTCCCCCACGCTCCTTTTCAAGCCTGTCACCGCCATGAGGCCTGTGGCCCTGCCTCCTCCCCCAGCTCTGCACTCTGGACCTGCAGCTTCCAGTGGCCTTTGGAGTCAGAGAGCCCCAAGACCTCGGGGTGAGAGCAAAGGTGAGGGTGGGGGTGGGGGCGGGGGCCGTGGCCAGTGGCGCCTGTATTCAAGTTTTTCAGGCTGGCCTAGAAATCATTCCTCTCATCTAGTCAACCCCTCATGCTCTCTAACCTCTTCTCTAAGCCACCCACCTCAGCCTTCCCTCCCTGAGAAATCCAGTGGACGTTCCTCTGTCCCCAAGACAGCCCCTCCCCACCATGCGCGCGCGGACACACACACACACAGGTTCAGGGGTGTAACTCAGGCATGCTGTGTCCCAGTCCAGTTCTGGATTGACAACACCCTGTGCCCAGGTGGTAGGTTGGGGCTGAGAAGAAAGCAGAAAAGAGAGGATGGCTCCTGTCTGAGGGCTGGGAAGGGGGACCGATGGCTTGAGAGTGTTGTGCCCCCGCCCCGGGACTGCCCATCAGAGATGGCCCCTGACTCTTCTCTCTCGCTTGGTCCCAGTCCCCCTGGAGGGCCTGGATAATCCCTGAGTTCTTCAAGCCCTGGTACTCTCCCCATCAGGGTTTTTCCCAGGGAAATCACTAAATCCATTAACTTTGGGTTGGGTTTTTTTGGTTTTTTTTTTTTTTTTTTTCCATTTTGGACCACACACCCAGCAATGCTCAGGGGTAATTACTCCTGCTCTGTACTCAGGAATTACTCCTGGCATCACTCCTGGCAGGGCTTGGAGGACCATATGGGATGCTGGGAATTGAACCTGGCCGCATTCGAGGCGAGTGCCCCGCCTGCTGTACAGTCTCTTCAACCCCCAAATCTATTAACTTAAAATAACTCCGGGAGCCTGGGAGATGACTCAGAGGCCTAGTTTGTGTGCTTTGCATACTGACGCCGCTGGTCCACCACGCGCTGAAAAAAAGATCAGCTCCTAACTGCAAATACTGACTTAACCATCTCAACTATTGATTGAGCGTTTAAAAATAATTTAAAATATATATAAATATATTTGGGAGATGCATGCTGAAAGTAGACTATAGGCCAAATATGATTGCCGCTCAGTGCCTCTTTTGAAAACCACAGCACCCAAAAAGAGAGAGAGAACAAAAGGGAATGCCCTGCCACAAAGACAGAGTGGGATGGGGGGATGGGGGGTGGGAGGGATACTGGGATCAGTAGTGGTGGAGAATGGGCACTGGTGGAGGGATGGGTACTCGATCATTGTATAACTGAAACCCAAGCACAAAAATTTTTAAGTCTACAACTGTACCTCATGGTGTTTCACTAGTAAAAATTTAAATAATAATAAATATATATATATATATATATATATACACCAAATAGTTTACTGAGATACAGAGATTCCCCCGAGCACCACCAGGGGTCACTCCAGAGCTCAGAGCCAGGAATAGCACGTGAGCACCACCACTGATATTGGCATGGCCCAAAAACCAAATAAATAAATGAATAAAATAATAAGAAAGTTTTTTAGGGAGGTATTTCTGTTATGACCTTCTCAAGCGCTGGTCAATGCCAATTGGCTAGAACCTGATTTTCTTTAACTTCCTTGTCTTACCATCCTTTTCTCAGAAAAAAAAAATTACTCAGCGCTCTCCCTAGAAATCTACCATCTGTAAACGAAGCAGGAACAGGAAGTACCCTCCTCCACACACACACTAAACTGTCTCATCATTCCCACACCCCCAGGGCATAGCATCACCAGCTTTGTGGAACACGGGACTATAGCCTGGAATAGACGTGCAGGCCTTTGCTGAATGCCAGTTCCTCCCTCCTTGCTGAATGCCAGTTCATCTTTCCTCTCAGGGATTAGGGTTCAAGAATCCGATCTTCCCGGGGAGATATCCTGGTTCTCTTCCCCCCACCACCTAAGGCTGCCGGGGCCCAGGAGGAAGAAGCCAGGATGAGCAAGGCAGGCACACGCCTTTGTGTGCTGGGAACAACACCCTGTGTGCCTCCCCTGCCAGGTGACAAGGAGCCCTGTGCCCATCCAAACTCCCGCTTCTGCGCCCCTGCTCGCCAGTGCCCCATCATGGACCCTGCCTGGGAGGCCCCTGAGGGTGTACCCGTGGATGCCATCATCTTTGGAGGCCGTAGGCCCAAAGGTAAGTGCCTGGTGGGCTTCCGTGCCTTCTCTGCCCCGTACCCGGGTCTCCTCCATCAAGTCTGGGGAGCCTCGGTCTGGGTCCCCAGCAGCAGCTGTCTGTCTCCCGCAGTCGGCCATGGATTGCAAATGGGGACTGGAGGCCCTAGGAGGAAAACCAGGAGTCGAGAGAACCAGAAGGGAAGGAGTAGAGTAGGGGGTCCAGAGAAAGGGCTGCTGCAGCCTCATCACTGCTGTCCACTTGTGTTCCAGGAGTGCCCCTGGTCTATGAGGCCTTCAGCTGGCGCCATGGGGTGTTTGTGGGCAGTGCCATGCGCTCAGAGTCCACTGCAGCTGCTGAACACAAAGGTGAGCCCCCTCATTTTTCTGGGGGTGGGGCGGTGGCCCACACCCTGCAGTGCTTAGGGACATCACTGGGCTCAGTGCTCTAGAGACATGCAGTGCCGGGGACAGACCCCTGGGCTCCTCCGTGCAGAGTCTGCACTCCTGTACACCAGCGTCCTGGTTCCAAGCTCCCTCTTTTTGCCTCTTCTGTGTCCACACTGCTCCTCTTTCTCCCTTCTAAGTCAAATTTTCTCCTGCCCACTCCTTCCCCCTCCCCCCATCTTTTATTTTTGCGTCTCTTTTTCCCCGGTCCCTTCTCTTCACTCTGCCCCATGTGTCGCATTTCACAACTTGCTGCGGTGGTTGCAGATGCTTTGTCTTCTCCAGAATGGAAATAGAGTCCCTTTACACACCCGGTCCCCTTTTGCAGGAAAGATCATCATGCATGACCCATTTGCCATGCGGCCCTTTTTTGGCTACAACTTTGGGCATTACCTTGAACACTGGCTGAGCATGGAGGGGCACAAGGGGGCCCGGCTGCCCCGGATCTTCCACGTCAACTGGTTCCGGCGCGATGAGGCCGGACGCTTCCTGTGGCCAGGTTTTGGGGAGAATGCTCGGGTGCTGGACTGGATCTGCCGGCGGCTAGAAGGGGAGAAAAGTGCCAAAGAGACACCAATCGGGCTAGTGCCCCAAGAAGGCGCCTTGGATCTCAGCGGTTTGGGGCCCGTGGACACCACCCAACTGTTCTCCCTCCCCAAGGATTTCTGGGAACAGGAGGTTCGTGACATTCGGAGCTACTTGACGGAGCAGGTCAACCAGGATCTGCCCAAGGAGGTGCTGGCTGAGATGGAGGCTTTGGAGAGACGAGTGCGTAGCATGTGACCCAAGACTTCAGGCTAGCAGCAGGCACACATGCCAGTCTAGGATAGGAAACCAGCAGGCTTGCAGAATACATGACACTGGGATATGGCCGACATCTTCAGGGCCATGAGGCCAGGCCACAGATCCTCCCACACACACTGTCTAATAATGAGATGCTCCTTTCTTTTATACAACATTTGTTCTGTTTTCGTTTGCCGTCGAAATGTACAGGCCCGTCTTATGTCTGCTCTCCTGTCCCTGGACATAACTAACTGGCTCCCTGGTACAGCCTGTCTGGCACAGTGGCGGGGTGATTTCAAGGTGATCGCGTGTATAGGTTGCTTTGCCCCTTGGCCACATCAGCAGGAGTTAGTGAAAAAAAGGTCGATGGTGTGATCAGCTCAGTGCCCAAGGGAGTCATTGCCCCTCTCTGGGTCATACCCAGCGATGCACAAGCGTTACTCCTGACTCTGCGCTCAGGAATTACTCCTGGTGCTCAGGGGACCATATGGGATGCTGGGAATCGAACCCGGGCCGGCTGCATGGAAGGCAAACACCCTACCCGCCGTGCTATCCCTCCAGCCCCACACACAGAGGCCTTGATGATCCCCATTCTGCAGTGAAGCAAATGTCATTTTGCCAACCATACTCCTGCCAGACCTGGAATTGTAATGGAAGAACATTCTTAAAGGTCAAATAAGTCAGCTAATAAGCACTTGTGCGTGCCTGGCACTGTCCTTGGCATGTTATATAGCAACCCTGAGGCGGGTTCCATTTTACAGATGAGGAAACAGGCCAGATAACTGTCCAAGACCACACAGTGAACAAGGTCACAGGCCAGATAATTGTCCAAGGCCATACAGAACCAAGGATAAATTGTAAATGCATAAATCTGTATCTCGGCAGCAAGGATTTGTAGATCTAACTATATGGGCCGGAGACAGTACAGCGGGTAGGCCTTGCATGTAGCTGGCCCAGGTTCAGTCCCCAGCATCCCATATGGTTGCCCAAGACCCACCAGAAGTGATCCCTGAGCACTGCTGGGTGTCACCTAAAACACAAAAATAAAAAATCACTGGGGCTGGAGCTATAGCACAGCGGGTTTGCTTTGCACACGGCCAACCTGGGTTTGATTCCCAGCATCCCATATGGTCCCCCGAGCACTGTCAGGAGTAATTCCTGAGTGCATGAGCCAGGAGTAACCCCTGTGCATCGCCAGGTGTGACCCAAAAAGCAAAAAAAAAAAAAAATCACTGATTCCATGCTTCTTAAACTTTAAAGAGCATATGAATCACCTGGGAGAGAGTTCTCTTTCTTTGGAGTTTGGTTTATTCCTTTGAAGTGTGGTTTAAACCACATTTGTCAGTGCTCCTGCCTCTGTGCTCAGGGAGTCGTGCCTGGGGACTGTTTGGGGTGCTGATGATCAGTATTCAGTTTGAGGGGCTGGGAAGATCATTCAGGGGTCAGGAGCTCATCATTGCCTAGCACTGACCCCTGGTTATCCCTGGAGACCTATCTGTAGGTCTCGTGGCCCTCAGCACTGCTGGCCCTGAACAGCAGCACACTGTCAGCAGACCCCAGCAATGAGCCATCCAGCTCAGCTGGCTGAGTACGGCCAGGAAAGGTCCCTGGGCTCCCTGAGTATTGCTTGGGAAAGACACCACTCCTCCCCCACCACACAAAATATATGCACAACCTGGTAAACTATTATGAAGTGAACAACCTTGAAAACACCCAGGGAAGGAAACAACTTTCCCAGACACCTAAAGTGTCTCCTAACCCTGATCCTGGTTTATGGTCACAGCCCCTTCTCCCTGGAGTAAATGGGACATGATCATTTCCTTGCAGTTTGGAGATGTGTGTTTTACACTCAAATGTGGATCCCCAAGACATTATTCAACTTGCCCATTTGTTTTTTGTTTGGGTCATACCCAATAGCACTCGAGATTGTTCCCAGTGGAGCTCAGAAAACTACACGGTACATGGGTTCAAACCCGCGTGTCCTGCATGCAAAGTGAATGCTCAGTCCCTTGAGCTATTCCTCTGGCCCACCTGGTTTATTTCTTTTGTGTTTTTTTTTTGTTTTTGAGTCAAACTTAGTGGTAATCAGGGCTTACTCCTGGGTCTGCACTCAGGGATAACTTCTGGTGGTGCTAGGGGACAATATGCCATTCTGGGGGTGAGATGGGGTTTACCACATGCACGGCAAGCATTTTAACTCCTGTAATACCTCTCTGGCCCAGGAAATAGTATTTTAAGAGTACACTCTGGGTGCTAGAAGTGTTCATTGTTACTATACAGGTTATTGTCCCTACACCTTTCTATGAGACAGAAAGGAATAGGAAGATCAGACTGATGCTTTCCAGTCAAACTCACGGCTAAAGAGTTTGAATTTTGTTATCACTGTCCTATTGCACACAAAAAATTCCAGCTCACAAACAGAACAAGAGAATGTTAGAGTGCAAGAGCGATAGTACAGCAGGTAGGGTGCTTGCCTTGCATGCGGCTGACCCATGTTCAGTCCCCAGTACCCCTGGGTTCCCCAAGTCCACCAGTAGTGATCTCTGGGTGCAGAGCCAAGAGTAAGCCCTGAGCATTCCCAGTGTGATCCCTGTCCCCCAAAAAAGAATATTAGAAATCCTGTAATTTCTCAATTGCTTTATAGTCAGTACATTTTATTTTCTAAATCCTGGGCAAATTAGTATATTTCACCATGTCATTCTACACAGAAATGATACAAGAAAAAAATATATATATAAACCATCAATCACTTTCCCAAGTGCTGCCCAGAGCTGTGTGTCCTATGTCCCAGGAGTTCTCAGCTGTCACTAGGCTAGGAGCAGGATAGGATTAAAAAGAAAATGAAAAACGTGCTTTCTTTCCCTCCTTTCTACCCCAGAATGGCCCCTAATGGAAATAATAACAGGAAATAGCCCAAAACAAATCTTATAGGAAACCAAATAGCTGACTTTTATACTTAGCCATTACCAGAACCAGTTCTGAAATGGGCGCTAAAGATAGCACACCAGGGGGTAGGGTGCCGCCAGCAGGTCAATCTGTACCTGTGAGGCGAGTGCATCAGCAGCCTCATGGCGCTGTCAGACTTCCAGATACCCCAAAATTGCTGCTGTGCCTTTGGCCAGACCCCAAAAACTTGGGGCAAAGTTTACCAAGAAAGTAAACGGCCAAAAGTTAGGTATGTGGGAAACACACCCACAAACCACCTCCGGCTCAGCTATATAATAGGAGGCAAGGCCTCTTTGGTTCCTGATTGAACTGCTTAATGGACATGATCCCAGAGACTCAGAGATGAATCTCGGAACCCAGTGGCTTTAGGTAGAAATGTGTCTGGTCTCTGCAGTAGGCTACCGGTGCTGGGCCAATCCAGGTGGGAATAGGTTTCGTGCCTTGGCCTACTCCCCCTGGCGGCCCAGTGGCCGCCATCCGTCTGAGGCCACTGGATAGTCACATTTGGGCCCCCAGTGACGAGACACACAGGGCCTCACGGGATGAGGGTGGAGCCGGGCTTGTCCTCCCCACCCCAACGAGACCCCAAGTCATCGCCCACGAACAGCCTCTCTGGCTCCTCATCAAGCTGCTTAACGGCCGTGATCCCAGAGACTCAGAAACAAATCTCAAAACCCAGTGGCGTTTGGCAGAAATGCATCTGGACTCCACAGTACGTTACTGTCGCCTGGCCACCCCAGGGAGGAAAGGGTGTTGTCCCTCCGCCTGCTCCCTCTTGGCGACTTGGTGGCTGTCATCCTCCAGAGGCCATTGGACAGTCAGGCTTGGGCCCGCAGTGACGAAACTTGTTGGGTCTCACGGGATGGGTGGGGGAGGTGGAACCGGGCCTGTCCTCCCCACCCTAACGAGACCCCAAGTCATCGCCCACAAACGGCCTCTCTGGCTCCTCATCAAGCTGCTCAACGGCCTTGATCCCAGAGACTCAGAAACAAATCTCGAAGCCCAGCAGCTTTTGTCAGAAATGTGTCCGGACCCCGCAGTAGGTTACTGTCACCGGGCCACCCCAGGGGGGAATGGGTGCTGTCCCTCTGCCTGCTCCCTCTTGGCGACGTGGTGGCTGTCATCCTCCAGAGGCCATTGGACAGTCAGGCTTGGGCCCGCAGTGACGAAACTTGTTGGGTCTCACGGGATGGAGGGGGGGAGGTGGAACCGGGCCTGTCCTCCCCACAATAACGAGACCCCAAGTCATCGCCCACAAACGGCCTCTCTGGCTCCTCATCAAGCTGCTCAACGGCCTTGATCCCAGAGACTCAGAAACAAATCTCGAAGCCCAGCAGCTTTTGTCAAAAATGTGTCCGGACCCCGCAGTAGGTTACTGTCACCGGGCCACCCCAGGGGGGAATGGGTGCTGTCCCTCCGCCTGCTCCCTCTTGGCGACTTGGTGGCTGTCATCCTCCAGAGGTCATTGGACAGTCAGGCTTGGGCCCGCAGTGATGAAACTTGTTGGGTCTCACGGGATGGGGGGGGAGGTGGAACCGGGCCTGTCCTCCCCACCCTAACGAGACCCCCAAGTCATCGCCCACAAACGGCCTCTCTGGCTCCTCATCAAGCTGATCAACGGCTTTGATCCCAGAGACTCAGAAACAGATCTTGAAACCCAGTGGCTTTTGTCAGAAATGTGTCCGGACCCCGCAGTAGGTTACTGTCACTGGGACACCCCAGGGAGGAAAGGGTTCTGTCCCTCCACCTGCTCCCTCTTGGCGACGTGGTGGCTGTCATCCTCCAGAGGCCATTGGACAGTCAGGCTTGGGCCCGCAGTGACGAAACTTGTTGGGTCTCACGAGATGGGGGGGGGGGGGAGGTGGAACCGGGCCTGTCCTCCCCACAATAACGAGACCCCAAGTCATCGCCCACAAACGGCCTCTCTGGCTCCTCATCAAGCTGCTCAACGGCCTTGATCCCAGAGACTCAGAAACAAATCTCGAAGCCCAGCAGCTTTTGTCAAAAATGTGTCCGGACCCCGCAGTAGGTTACTGTCACCGGGCCACCCCAGGGAGGAAAGGGTTCTGTCCCTCCGCCTGCTCCCTCTTGGCGACGTGGTGGCTGTCATCCTCCAGAGGCCATTGGACAGTCAGGCTTGGGCCCGCAGTGACGAAACTTGTTGGGTCTCACGGGATGGGGGGGGGAGGTAGAGCCGGGCCTGTCTTCCCCACCCCAATGAGACCCC